CATCTTTCCACAAGCATGTTGAAACATCTAGTGTACGATGAGCTCAGAACACATCTTAATTATGTTTAAGTAACCAGTCAGCAGGGCAGAAAAAAAGTCTTCTGTTTATGTTCCACTTTTATAGATGTTTTACAAAAGAGGGCTCTCCCATGTTGTTTGATTTGTTGATATTCCCGTTCACATGGCAGCAACTCAGTGCATTTAGGCATTTAGATGAACACAACTATCTCTGGGGTTTACAGAGAAAGGTCCAAAATGAGAAAATAGAAAAGACTTCTGGCATCGTCAGACAGTGGCCAGACTGCTTCAAGCTGATAGGAAGACAACAGTGATTCAAATAACCGCTCGTTATTGCCAGAGTATCCAGAAGAGCATCTCTGAATGCAGAACACGTCCAGCAGAAGACCGTACCGGGTGCCACTCCTGTCAGCTAAGAACAAAAACTGAGACTGAAATTGACACGGGCTCAGCAAAATTGGACAACAGAAGACTGGAAAAACGTTGGCCGCTCTCATGAGTCTCAATTTCTGCTGAGACAGTTTGCTGTAACCAAAATAAAAACATGAATCCATGCTACCTTGTATCAGCGATTCAGACTGGTGGCGGCAGTGTGATAGAGTGGGAGATGGATATTTTCTTGTCATACTCACCTGAGTATTGTTCCTGACCATTTGCGTCATAGATGTGCAGCTGATAAACCTTTATCAACTGACTGACGCCACGATTTCAACATGGTCTTTGAGGAATGTTTCCAGCACCTTGTTGAATCTGCACGACAAAAATTAAGGCATTTTAAAGAGGGTCCAGCCTGCTACTAGCGAGGTTAAATTAATGAAGTGGCTGGTGAGTGTAGAATAAGATTAAGATTAGCAGAACAGTGCTTAACAGGACAAAATGCAGAAAAAGATACTTTGGGCGATTTGGAAATTATGTCATCACGAAGTTTGTGCAGCAGACTGTGCTCCGACTGCACCGTTTCATATACCGTCCTCTTTACTGTCTGCATGTGTTGTTCCTCTTAATAGGGTTTGTGCGGTGACCACTCTTGACACAACGTTGTGCCTTCCTGCTGTATATGACAGACGGTTAAATGGATGCATTTAAGGGAAGGAACATAGAGAAGAGAGGAAAAAATAGGGCAGCATCAGGTGTGTTCAGTTCCTTCTGTGCAGCTTGCCTAATCTGTAATTTTGCTCTTGGCATGAGGCTCAGGTGCTTTGCTCTCATCGGAGCCATTGTGTGGTCAGATGAGTGTTTGCTGCCAAGACCTCAGATTTGCTCAAGACTGTAAGGTAGCGGGTTCACCTGGATATTTTTGGTCGGGTATGTGGATTGTGCTGACGCGTGTCCCTGATCTGGCTCCCGCACTGCTTGGAAGGAGTGTCTTTTCTCATCATTTATGTGCCGGAGTGTTCACACAACCTTATTTTTACACTTCAGCAATGAGCAAAAGTGTTTCCTAATTGACTTTTGTCTGAAACATTTCATCTGTGAATTGAATTTTGCAAAGTAATGGGATGATCAAGGGCACATTTCCAGCAAATGCTGACTCAAATCCTCTGTCGATACTAGAAGCAGCACTGTAGGCTTTCACTTTTAAATGCCATCTTAACCATCTTAAAGATATTTGTGTTCACCAGCTACAAACCACACTGTAGCCAGATACCATTATTTAGCATTGGCTTTCCAGACTTTGATGTGAAAGTTGAAGCTTGCATATGTCTGCATGAAAGCAAACTGCAGCTAGGCTGTGTTAAAGCTTACAGTAAGGAAGAGTAACATACTTTATAAAAGACTGCTTTGTCCTCCCAGGTGTAACAATCTGTCCTTCACCCATCTCACAGGTCTAAAAACCTCTCAATAATCTCCTGATGTGGCAATTACCACTTTTGCTATCCTTCATTACCTGACTCTTCTTTGTAGCTGAGGGCTGATTCATCCCTAACATTCAGATGATGGAGACTTTTTAGGGAAAGAAAGGAAAATAGATACTGACAATGATAAATAGAGTACCAGTGAGAGAGGATAAGATAAGAAAAAAAAAAAGGAAAAATTAAAGGATGGCGAGTTAAGACGAGAATGAATGCCGGAGGAGTCTTCTGCAGGACTGAGTTGTTTAATTAATGTTGCCGTACACACCACCTCCATTCCCAAGAGCAGTTTCTGTTTCTGTTTTTGTTTCTTTCACCTCATAATCCTCTTTTTTGTATCTCTTTTCCACTTAGTTCAGTTGCATCCACTTCAGTCTCAGGGTTTATCTTTTAATTACAAAGAGCAGATTACAAGGAGAATTTTACAGCAGCCATGACATTGTTGCAATAACAACAACAAATAGCTTACTGTGGGTCGACCTGATAGCCGGTTGGCAATGAGAATGATACCACGTACACCCTGGCATCTTAAACAAGGAGTTATTGGTTTGATTCTCTTGTTCTTTCCCCACATTTCCTCACTTTTTCTCTCTATGTGCCCGTTATTACTATAACATCAGAAATAAGTCAGTACGTACACGAGAAGGCATACAGTGTTCCACTCGTCAAGTGTCTCTCACACCTGAAGGCTTTGCTTGGAAATCACTCTTTACAAATGACAAACGACTGTTCTTTCCTTTAGGTCTGGACACTCTTACAGTCTCTCCTTTCTTTTCCACTCTGATACCTTCCACTCCTCCCACTTTCTACTCCACAAAAACCTCTTTCACTTCATGGGTCTGCTCTATCCATCTCAATAAGGGATAGATGAAGGTGTGAGAATAACAGTCTGGCAGGTATTTCTCCCAGTGTCCTCAGGACATATCGGTTATGATACCGCTCGCCACACAGGACATATTACTTTCTGATTTTAAAAGTGCTTTTTGCTCTGGTCCTCTCAGAAGCAAGAGGTATATGTTCCTCTGTCTCTAATTGTTTGATAGTAATAATTCTTAACATCTTAAAAATTGTTTTAGAATACGTCAGATTTAAATAATTTTTTTTAATTAGACATGAATTAGAAGTCGGAGATGTGTTGTGTTTTTGCAGACTTTTCCTTTCTCGTTTCAAAAAGAAGTTCTTTCACTGAGCTCTTTTTTACGCCTTATTAGTCTCCCTTCTCGCTTTTTTGGTGGCACTTTATCTCAGCTTTACATCTATTCACGCTTGCTTTCCTTAGATTTCTTTTATTAAGAGGTGGGAAATAAAGAACTACAAAACCTTGTTCCTGTAGAGTTTTCATATATCTGTATTTTACTTGACTATTTAAATTTTCAGACAACTTTTGTTCTCTACATTCAAACGTATATATCTTTGCTCCTTACATTTTCATAACAGGTTCATTACTTCAGGTCTAACGGATTTGAGGGGATTATTTTGCATCACTGTTATGTTCAAACTAAGTTAAACATCAAATTTATGCATCATTTATCGCACTATAGAACTTAAACAAGGGGTTTAAGTTGTATAGTGCAATAAAAAAGATTAACAAGAGTAACGTGGCAAGTAATTTCAAACACACAAACTGTAGCTGTGCAGTTTGTAACACAATGTGTTCAATTCAGTTTTATTTATATAGCACCAAAGCACAAAAACATATGACAATGCACTGAGTGTTATAAGGTAAAGACCCTACAGCAATGTGTATCTCTAAAAGTACAGGTTCTGTATTTCCCAGAGACAGAAGAGAAGCTCAGTTTCAGAGGTAGAGAAAAATGTAAGACAGAAATGACAGGGCCCGGGTATTATTTTCTTATCATATTTAATATGACATGAAGTTCACTTAGCTTTGCACAAACATGGCTTGTAGAAGTGTCCTCCAACGCGATACGTTTTACTGTTATACTACTAGTACATTTCAGAGCCTGCACTTCACTTTTACTTGAGTAAAAAAACTGAATTAGTACTTCAACTTTTACAAGAGTATTCTTTAAAACAAATATTTGTACTTCTACTTAGGTGATGAATGTGTGTCCTTTTGCCACCATTTATGTGTGCGCGTGTGTGTTTGTTGAAAGTTGAAGCTGAAACATGGCAGTGATTAATTGCATGGTTGAGATCAAACAAGCACAGTTTAATTAAATCCTCTGATAGTGTCAAAGTTTATGTTTCCTGGGAGTCAAGAGGTTGAACCCTCTGTGTCAACTTCCACTATTACTCAGCATTAATCACAGCAGCGTGTTTGTCTTGTAAGTGCGAGCGATATGAGATGCAGCTTCTTTTACAGCTGCTTGGAGTAAATAAGAACAATTTTACCATAATGGAGATTTTTAAAGATCCTTTTGGAAGAAAGTGTAAACGTGTCACATTAAATGGTTGATTTTGCATAACAGTTTTTCATTCACAAACTCAATGTTTTGTTTTGGGGTTTTTTTTTCATCCCTGGTTCATTTCAGTTGTTCCTAAGACTGGGCACAACTTGGGTTAGAGTAACCAATGATGCGATCCTGTCATGAGATGTTGCTTGTTGCTGGTAAAAATATAATAAGCAGTTTCTTGACACTCAATATTCTGCCCTTTGGCCTGTTGAAAACTTTATAGAGAGAATTTTGGGGCCAAGGGGTTGAGTGTGTTTGGCATAATCAAACGATGATCTCTGACTCACATCAGAGGAGAATCAGCACCTACAAGCCCGAGGCCATGTTTCTCATCAGAAAAGGGTGGACTCCTTAAGTAGTATGCAATAAGTCTCCGCCTTAAAAGGAGGATTCTAAGTATTGTGGGGTCTTGGGTGTAGGGTTGGGCATCTCCAACCTGTCATTCATTGTTCAAAGAAACAGACGCAGAGATTTCATGCATTATAATATGATAAGAAGCAATAAAAAGAAACACATATCCATTGGTGAGCTGTAGCCAATTGCTTTGATGATTTGTCACCAAGAAGCACAACTTAGTTAGAAGGAGAGAAAGATTGGCTGATGGATTATCCCGGCATTCGCAGTGATATGAACAGCTAGCTTCAAAAAGACCATGACAAATGTAATTGTGCCGTGTTAAACAATTTCTCCCTGCTTCCTCTGTTATGGTCAGGGTATCACCACAGCCTCCCTTCCTCCCCCTACGCCTTCACGGCTGGACCTGATGGTCAGAGGTTACCTCCATCTGGCACCCTCTCCTCTGAGTATCTGAACCAGGGTAACTCCAAGGTCCTCCTCCTCATCTGCAACACAGCAGGATCTGGCTCACAAGCTGTCAGGTGAGTTGTTGTCATCGTCATTATTATCCATTTAATTTGTATTGATTTTTTTTGTACATCTGGATGCAGGGCGATCGTGGCTTAAGAGTTGGGAGTTCGCCTTGTAATCGGAAGGTTGCCGGTTTGAGCCCCGGCTTGGACAGTCTCGGTCGTTGTGTCCTTGGGCAAGACACTTCACCCGTTGCCTACTGGTGGTGGTCAGAGGGCCCGGTGGCGCCAGTGTCCGGCAGCCTCGCCTCTGTCAGTGCGCCCCAGGGTGGCTGTGGCTACAATGTAGCTTGCCATCACCAGTGTGTGAATGTGTGTGTGAATGGGTGGGTGACTGGATATGTAAAGCGCTTTGGGGTCCTTAGGGACTAGTAAAGCGCTATATAAATACAGGCCATTTACCATTTACCATCTCTTTAACTCAGATAAGCAGTTTATTTAACAATCATGGCTTCTTCTAGAACTTTTTGAGCACAGAAGAACCAAGTGTAAAGATATCTAAGGTAACCTAGATATCTTTTATGCATTTTAAGGACGTGCCATCCTGCAGTCAGACTGTGTTTTAGACCTTGATCATACACAGAAGCAGACACTTCTCTTGCTCTGCTGTGTCTTAAATAGATTTTGTCGTTCATTCTTTTCCTTTAGTCCTGCTGTGTTATTTCAGCATCAACATCTAACTCCTGTTTGACTTTGACCTGTATGTCTGTTACGTGAATTCCCCAGACTCAACGGGGTTTATTTTTTTAGATTTGTGCAGCTAAAACATACATTCAACTCAATAGTGTTGAAACTAGAGGCCAAGTTAAACAATGTGGTCAAATCAAACCCTCTGACCTGTGAAAAAAATCAATTAGATCCATGTGCTCGTCACTGCTTAGTATCTGCAATGTGCCGGATCTGATGTTAGATTTCAGCAGCATCACAGATGGAAGAAACAATGGAAGAAGCTGATTGGATGCTTGTATTTATTTGAGGTTAAGCATCCCATAGTTACTGAACAGCATTACAAATCAAAGAATCCAAACTTTTGATAAAGTTTACCTGACAGTATCGTCACTGAGAAGGTAAATAAAAAGATATGTGACCAAGACAAATTTCAAGCTTACTTTAAACTGAGCAAAGATTTATTGGCTTGCACGTGAATGTTTTGCTGTTACTATTTTACTAAAACAAGTCCTTGCAAAGGCAGATTGGATGGGGCTTACAGTGCACAAAAGCATCCACATCGCTGTTATTAATACTTTTCAATTTATAACGCTCTCTCCACAGGGGATCAATAAGTCTAACCTCTTATTGACACAAGGCAAGACAGATTTATTTTACTCTCCTGTGATCTAGTTTCAGTCATCATGTGCACTTTGGGATTTGATCTTATAGCTCCACAAATCCATGTAGAGACATTACTGAAAGGCTTGATAATGTCAGGGTCTGACATTTGAAGACTCATCCGTCCACATGCCACCTGACTCGTCTGTGCGGCTACAATAAATGTCTGAGTGTCTCTGTGCAGCCATCTATTCCCAAAATGATCTGGAAAAAGCAATACATCTACAGATGTTTAATTATTTCCTAATTAAAATGCCATAGTGGAATTTCGCTGCATACTATAATAGAATCATGTGGATACCCGAACAGTCCAAATCTGTGCTTAAATGTGCAACTTCAACAGCTTTGCTCCTCTGAGACTGTGATATTATGAAGCTTGTAAAGATTTGCTCCCATTCAGCCTACAGATCATGCTCTGGCGCACAGTAGCAATCAAAACGATCCCGTTCAGGGTCGTTCAGGTTAAGGCAACTCAAGTTCTTTGACTCCAAATTATTTCATCACTCTGAGCTCACTTTGTGCTGCGGGGAGGTTTTAAGAGAGGAAAAACAGGTCTTCTCCAGTACGATGCTGCGACATTAAAAGCTTGGTGTTGCTGTCATACTGTTGTGTTGTGTAGCAACTGAATGAGTTGCACCAATATTTCTTCAAAACAGTTAGCTGCCAAGGCATTGGGAACTTTGTTGCTGTGTTTGTGTTTATACTGTAAATGTCTTAAATGCATTTAAAACTTAAAGTGTTATTGTAATTGTATGTGGACTATATGCAAGGCTTTGGATTAACATAGGTGGAAGAACCCAATTCTAATGGATGCATTGCTGAAATGCAGACTGGTTTCTTATTTGTTCCTGGACAACATGTCAGTACAAGACAGCTGGCTGTAACAACTTGATGCACTTGACATTTGATGGTTTGACACATTCCTAATAAGCCTACAGCTGCTTTTCACTTACTTAGTGTTTCAATGAATTCAGGTTAGACTACGTTTTCTAATCTTAATTACTTGCCAACATACTTAATTATAAATAGCAATCATTTTTTATTTATCTTTTCAATGCAAAACCTACTCTCAAATCTCTTTTGTTCTGCTCTGCTCTACCGTCCTCACTTGTGCTCTGCTCTCGCAGGTTTGGGCCTCCATTTCTTATACTTGAGGACAGGAGTATCTCCTGGGACCAGCTGCATCAGAGCATCCTCAGTAAGCTCTATTATCTGATGCTGAATGGATCTCAGGCTCAGGTAATGCACCCTCACTAACCAATAACATGTCAGCTACTCTATTCTGTGTCCTTGGCGCTTCAGCTCAGGTGGTCCTGGACACTCTGGGTTCTAACAGAACAGATTAAAATAGCAGCGCAGTGGAGAGATCAGTTATATGTCTGAGTCATATTTAGAGCTAATGGAAAAGCAGACAAAGGTTAAAGCAGATGAAAACTCGTAGTTTTTTCTTCCTTCATTGTTTTGATGATTGTAGGGTCTTTGTGATGCTGTGTAAAGCACCTTGAGATGACTGCCACTTCATAAATAATGCATTGAACTGAATTGAATTAATATTTAATAATAAATCTGCAGAAACTACAAATCTGATCCTTTATAGCATGTTGAGTGTATTTATAGGTTAGATTGAGTTCCTAAGTCTTTATATGTTATTAGATTCAATGAGTCTTACTAGCTTCTACAGTCAGACTAGGGAAAACAGTGGTTGGAGACTGCAGGACGACCAAAATTACTGTAGCCAAGTGCAACAAACTTGTTGCCTTTGAAATAGCTGTTGACGTGGACCGGGTCTGCAACTGGCAGGCAGTTGCCATCTTCAAAACGAGTGCTATTTTGCTATTAGGCTGCAGTTGAACGGGGTCGGTGTTTGTGATAATACGGCAGTTAACTGTAAGCAGTTGGTGAAAATCACAAATCTGTTTCACCCTACATCCACAGAAATTCATAATTAAACAGAAATTCAAAGATTTCTTCTCAAATACTGACTTATATAGATATATAACCAGAATACAACCAGATGGCAAGAGAGTTGAGTCGAGTCCCTTATTGCAAAAACAAGTGTCATAGACGAGCTGTGCTTATTGGTGCAGATTGACTCAGATTGATTGCAACGTGCTGGCAATCTGTCTGCATTTTAAAATTAGACGGCAATTATTTGCACACCTTTGCCAATCTGTCTGAATGTGAATGCAGCCAGTGTGAGTTGGACAGTAATTGTTTGGAGATGGATTGCCTTCCACCAGATGACACGTGTAGTCGTCTTGTGATCCAAAGCAGCCGCCCTCAGGTTAAGGGCATTGCACTCTTCCACCAAGGGCTGACCAGCTGGTGGCCAAAACTACGAGCAATCAGTTGCTGAATATGAAAAAATTTAGAGCAGTGACCAGGCAATTTCTGATTTTTGCTGGCTGCAAAGAGGTTGTCATCAAGTTTAGTGACGTATGTCCTTCTTCATATGGGACGTTATGATACTACTTTGAGAGAGCCTGTTTCTCCATCTGTTACCATTTTCATTCAAAGGAGTCTTTAAATCTTTTAAAATCTTTTAAGGTGCTTTTCACAAAAAAAGGCCATTTTTGTATGTAAGATTTTAGCTCTACTGTCCACTCAGTATGTGCTGCTAATCTTGATAAAAGCTGCGATTCAGCCGATGCGTGTTCAAACCATGAACCGTGGCTCAACACTACTGGGTAAATATTTTTGTGGCACGTAAGCACCCATTCATCATGCAGCTGTCTATTTGATTAGGAACTACGGAGGAAAAGAAGGAGAAACATAAGTCTGGTATTTACTGATTGCTATCTTAGTTTCATAGTTAATTCTTCAAAACCTGTCTGGCCAGATATGAAAACATCCTCTTGTTGTCCTTACTTCCCCTTTATTCTTCTTAAAAATATACCACCAACGCCCCTATGTGGATTTTTGTTTGTTTGTTGTTATTTTATTTTATTTTTTTCATATTTTAAGCTGTAAAGACCACTTCTATCCCAAGGGTGAAGGCCATTAAGCCTTGCTGATGCTTTGTTGCTGTTATTTTAAAAGAAACCACAGAACTAATACCAGCTTTACTGTAATCTCTGTGCAATATAATACATAAGATCCACACAAAACTCTGTTTCTTTGCCAGTGTCATGCTCCTTTCATTATCATTAAACAATGCTTTGGTGCCACCCAGAGGTTTGTTTAGCAAGACACAGCTCAGCTTGTCCAAAAAAAGAAAATGCACCGACTCGCATGTCAAAATCCAGTTCTTCTTTCACAGCTCACTCTCTGAAGGTTATCAGGTTATTTAGAAAATGTTATTAATTTTGCCTCTGTCTCCGGCATACCTGTCTAAACTTTATATTAGCACATTACATTCATATAAATTCTTTTACTCTTTGAAAATCTGGGAGAGCAGAATTCAGATTATTTGAATTTTAAATTACTAGAACTCTTTGAATAAAAAGGAAACCACACGTTACTGCTTGTTGCCTGACCTTTTTAGGGAATATTTAGAAAATTCCCTAAGTCTTTTATCCTGATGGTAAATCCATGTTGGAGGATTTCTATCATTTTTATAATTCGGCTGTTTCTGCTAAAAATGAGCTTTTGGCTCTGAGTTTGTTTTTTCTTGAATCTTTGAGCTTCTCATGTCAAATATTACTGAGTGAACAGTGAATTCAAATATATGGCCTTCTATCTTTTTCTTTATGGTGTGATTAGAGACGATTAGAAGCTGCAGAGGGACGTAACAGTCTTTCATATATTCAGCTGAACACAAGAAAAGAGAAAAAAATGAAAGTTTTTGAGCAGCCAGTTGAACTTCCACCCATCTTCATATTTTCAGCCTTAAATCTTTTATTTCCTTGTAGGGTAATCATTTAATTGGTCTACACAGGTTTTTGGAAAGTATGCCAACATCTGTCTCCCTCACTGGAGTCGCTGGCCTCCGTGAGGCAGATTATGAATGCTTAACACTAACGCTCATTCAAAAACTGTACTAGTCCTGCGTGATTACTTATTAGTGTGAAGTGTCTCATCCACTTTCCTTCATTATACTTTAACAGACAGACAAGGATGTCTGAACGCATGCTCGCTCGACCTCATAAAACCAACAAGAAAGAGACTGTGCCTTTGTCATTACTGCTCTAGGCTCCTATTAACCAACTAATTTCTTTCTCTTTATGCTCGACTGCAGTTCCTGTTCTCCAAGAGCAGCCGACTCATAATGAACCCTTATGTCTTTGCAACAAAGAGTGTAATCCATTTGGAAATACATTTTTCTCTATTTGAGTGGAAAGGTGGAAGGACTGACAGAGAGACTAGGTTATTATAGTTACAGAGCATTTTAGTTAACAGACATTTTAAAACCAAGTCCCACAAGAGAAACAAAAATAGGACAAAGTGATTAAAAATGTTCTAGTCTCTGTCAATTTGTATATATGTGTATATATACACATATATACTTTTTAAAAGTCTTTTTACAAAATTCCTGTAGATTATGTTATACTTGATCACTCTTTTCTTGCACTGTTGCTTCTGTCACGCTCTTTAACAAGTATTGTAAATCAGAGTGAGATTTCTCATGTAATGGATGTAATTTACATGAATGCAAAGGTGTGTGTACTAAATTGAGGTGTTTGGGTAGTTAGACACCAATAAGCTCTTCTTATAGCATAGCCGCAGATAAACGTAGCAGATTGTGACAGGACCCCCACCGTCAGTAGTTGATGGAGGCTTTTTGTTGAGATGCCCTGCACAACAAGGATGAGATCTGGGGAGAAGGGATGCATATGGTACAGAACATAAAGTCTAAACAAGGGTTGAAAGGCCTATTTGAAACACATAATGCCTGTAAAAAGATCACTCGACAAAAGTATTAATATTGCAATTTGGAAGCCTTTTTCATGACAGAAAATGATAAAAAGTAATATAAAGCAAAGGAAATGGAGCAGCCCTTTATAACAAGAGGATGGGAGGAAATAAAATGTGAGAGAACAAATCATCCCTATTGGCTTTGTACAGAAGAAACAAAGAAACATACTAGAAAATATTCACATTCACACTCCTATATTAAATCATACTACAGAAAAAAACACATTGCTTTGTAAGGCATTGAGCACCCAGGCTGAAAATCAGAGTTTCAAACTACAAAGATGTCCTTCAACTTTTTTTTTTCGTATCTCAATTATATATTCTGCAATCATAATGTCATCACCTCTCAAATTTATTATATTTGTCTACAGCTTTATATGCACATAAATGACATTTATTGAGGTAGTCCTTCTTTAGGGACACAGCTGTGTTAAATAGCGTGACTTTCTCTCCTTCTAGAATGCTGGAGCGTTGTTTAAGATCAGAGTGGTGGGAGGATCGGCAGCCTACAGCTACCTGTCCCCACAGGACAGCAGGCCACTGTACCACCCTGCTGTTGACAGGTACACCACGCCTACACCTACACTCTACCTACACACATGTGAATACATGGTGTTATCATAGTTCCACGACTGCTGATTTTTTCTTCTTCCATGTATTTATTGAGTTTTAAACATTACACTGCACGACTGCTAATTTAGGTGTGGCCAATCTCTCCATCAAAGTCAGGCCTTGTGTATTGCTGGACTGCTCACAGTGCCACTAGAATTATCACTTCTAACTAGAGCCACATCTCCAGCTAAGATTCAGGACCTGCACAAAGATGCATGGCTACTTTGAAAAATGTTGTTTTTTCTATAAACCCTTTGATGAAGGTGTATGCCATTGTCTCCTTCTGTGATGTCAAACTATATGTTGTGTTATTGTTCGCGTGAGGTAGTCTGCTAGGGCCGATGAAGACAAAATACCTGTTTCTGTTAGTCACATCGTTCTTGTGAGATCTCAGACTGGTTGTGCTCTAAGGAAAGAGCAGACATGTCAGCATATTTCCCCTGACAGGTCTCCTGGTCCATGTCCATGTCCTTCCTCAATGTGCAATCTATATTGTTCTTATATTTTTTTTACCCTATAGCTTTGGCAGTGTTTGGCATCTTTTTTAATCCAGTATAAATGTGGCGCAGACTTTAGTGGATGTAAACAGAACATCCAAACCACAAGAACGCACATCACATGAGGAGGTCCATCAGGTGCACAGTGTGGATGCTGACTTCAGCCTCTACAGTCAAAGGTGGAGTTCTAGTGTTAGGTCCTGTGAGATCGGAGGGACAAAATCAACAGACCTGTGCACTTAAATGCACTCACATTGCCATAGTGCTTTTTTAGCCACACCAACATTGTCGCTTATCGCCCCCATGCCCAGCAGATATGGCATCCTACAACTTTTTTGTCATGGGCACTTTTTACACAGTGGAAGGAGTCCAAAACTGATTACAGATGCAGAGTTGGAAGTGATCAAAACAAGACTTCCAGGGAGAAATCTAAAAATAGAAGCCATGCTGAGATAAGCCTTAATTTAATCAAACGTGTTTTTGACTTTCATGGGCAAGTCAGTGAAGTTCAATACATCCTCTCCTTGTACAATTTTCTAGACACCAGCAATTACGGAGTCAGTATCTAGAATTTATGATGTTAAAAAATGCAGAGTTTTAAAATAGTTTTTTTTATTTTATTTTATTTTAACAAATACCTGATTACGTTAAGTGTGGCTGATATTTAACTTCTGGGATATAAAATATTATATTGTATTGTATCCTTTTATCTTGTGTAAAATTGCCATGTACCTATGTATAGAGATAAATCCTAAAAAAAATGTCATACTTGCTGATGGCATGTGGAGGAAAACTAGGAATACCTTCAGAAACCAGTGGACCTTGATAGCACTGAAGGATACAAACTATGATATCAGTTTAACAGTATGAAGATAAAGGCGTTATTTCCTGTGTAATTAACAACGTCAAGGTTTCGTAGTACAGCCGGGAAGGGGAGTATAATATTTAAATCTGTGCTGTTGTTCTACTAAGCTGCGGTGAAGGTCAGGCTTCCCACCGAGGGCTAGGAAATGAGCTTCCAGTGTGTGTGTGTGTGTGTGTGTGTGTGTGTGTGTGTGTGAACAAACCTGTCTGGGGAAAATGTGCATCGGTTTGCCCTCTTGGTGGCAGCTGAAGCTCATTTCATAGCTGTGATGTAGTTGAGCTTTGCATGAAGAAGGCCTATATCTGTGTTGTGAACATATCTATCTATCTATCTATCTATCTATCTATCTATCTATCTATACACATACATATATATGTATGTATATATACATATATATGTGTATATATACATACATATATATATGTATATATATGTATATGTATATGTATGTGTGTATATATATATATAATTAAAAAACTAAAAAAAACTCCCTATTAAATAATAAGTGAGGTAACACTTGGACTGCACACACAAGTAAAAGGAAACACATAGAAACACGAGAAAAGGAGTTATTGCGATCAGGTGATTAAGTTTAAAAATGTTTTAAGCTAGTTACTGTGAATATCAAGGGATTTAAATTTCTGTGGTTGTGCAAATATTGATCCACATGTGGTGCAGAAAATGTCACAAACTTGCTTCTCCAAATGGCTCCTTTTAAATCGTTAGAGGCTCACAGTAAGTTACTAAATCAGAAACCGATACACAATGCAGATGCTTTCTGTTGATCTCACACTCATTTATATTGTATGGTGGCCCTGAGAGGCCAAACGGACTGCAACTTCAGAAAACACTTGCAAAAAGAAAAATGCTGCAAAAAGAAAAACGCTGCAAAAGCACACACAACACAACGGAAATGTTTCTGGGGAGACAATAACCGGACGGACCACTTGCAAGTGTTTTCTGAAGTTGCAGTCCGTTTGGCCTCTCAGGGCCACCGTAATATTGTCTTCTTTTATTCTTTTTTTTTTTGGGGGGGGGGGTGCCACATTTTTCATGGTTGTGTTTTGTACTCTGTGTTTTAAATAGAGCTGCAGTTTTTATAATTCTTATACACCGTTTACCATTTTCAGGGGCTCAAATGTAACTGGATATTTCATTTACTCACTCATCGCGGCCGATTTCTTTCTTTATGATAAGCATTTGAAAGAAAATCTGTTTCAAGTAAATCATAGTTCTCCAACTTTAAAAGAAAAATCAAAATATCCAGAAAGACATGGAAAACATATATATGAGAACCATGCAAAAATTGCAACATTAAGTTTCATGCTTCTGTAAAAAGGAAAAACAGTAGTGAGCTCAGCAACAGAAACGGCCTAGAGGTCTACAGAAGACGACAGTGGTGGATGATCTTATATCCAGCCAAGTGAGGAAAGCTCAACAGGAAGTAAACATGCCATTATCCCAGTCTATCATAAGCAGAAATAGAGAAAATACAAATGGTTCGCCACAGGGGGAAAAGCATCTGTGAGCCTAAAGGAAAGAAAGATGACATATTGCTAAAAACATAAGAATCAATAAGAGCAGTTCTCTAACTGCATTATTTAGACAGATAAAACTAAAACCTGTAACACAAGAACAGGAAGAAAAAAGTATGGAGAAGGTTTACAACGGCTCATAATCCAAAGCATACTACCACATACCTTATAAAAGTGTGTCAGTGTGATGCATGAGCATTCATTCATCACGCATTTATAAGTCCTTAGAAGGGCAATACAACACTGCTGCTTGTTTGGCTCAGTGGGTGAGCAGGTGACTATACACAACAGTGCAGCAGTTTAAGAAGTCTGACTCACGGTCCTTTGCTGGGTGTCTTCACCTTCTTTCTCTGTCTATATTGTCTTGTCACATAAGTTGTGGATTTATTGGATTTACGCTTGCTTTTCAATTTCAAGTGATTTTTGCATTTGTGGTGTTCTAATCATGTTGCTAACGGTTAAGTTACAGACCGCCCTCTGGTGGATAAACCATTCATTACATGGTTGTTTTGCATCCCTTCTTTACTGTTTTCATTTTCATTTTCATTTATTGGCCATTATAAATCCGAATACCAGTATATCACCAACTAAATAATCTCGACCAATCGACAAGGCTCTAATGAAATCATACAAGATAAACTTTGCTGTCCGTAGTGTTATATTCTGTTCAGAGTCATCTTAATGCAGCAAAGTGTTTGGATCAGTGTGGCCGCTGGATAGTGACCAGAATATACAGTAAAGGCTTTTTTGGGAGCTTTTTGAAAAAAAAAAAACTAGTACTTTCAATGACCAGGTCCGTCACCGGATCTCACTGAGCAGCATTTCAGTAGCTGAAGACAAAACTGAAAGCAGAAAGGTTCATGAGTAAACAGCTGGAAACAGCTGCAGCAAAGGGTTTGGGAAAGCAACAAAGAGGGAAATCAAACGACTGACAAAGTATGAAAAATAACAGTTGTGTTGTCTTTTGCCTGTGCCTTTATGTGTTTATCTGCTTTACAAAATAGTTTGAAATGCATTGCTTCAATTAACTTGTTGTCTAACCTCCTTGTTAAAAAGATAATTAATGTTTTCTTGTATGTTGTGTGACACTTAAATAATTATTGACTTGTAGACAATTAACTGGCCACTCAGAGCTCCTGCTGATGCTCTGGGATCTGGATTCGATTTAATTTTGTGGTAGTGCTCTGTTTACACACAGAGCAATCTTTCAGTTAAAGAAATTCAAATGATTCCCGGGAGGAATTAACTGTGCGATGACTTTTTCGACAAGAGCATCTGTAGAGGCGGTGGCGTTTTTAGTTTTTAGTGTCTGTTTCTCTAATTATTGTGCTGACAGGTCACAGAAGTGTGACATCTGCTAGTAGCGAGTGCATTAAATGCGTTCGTAGGGAACAATACTGAGACAACAATGTGAGTTCTGCTTTGAAGATGGAATGAAATTATTCATTGTCAGAATCAGTCAATATTTAGCTGTGCTTGAAGTCTCAAGCACCTTTCATGTCCATCTAGAAAAGAAAAACCTTTGACATGGCTTCAAAAATCTGCCCGTGGTGATCCATCATTCTGTCCTTAGCATTCAGTAATTTTTAAGTGCACCTTGGCCTTTCCATCAGAGCTACTTGGCTGTTGAATACTGATGCTGTTTCTTTCCTCCTGAGATGAAAGCAGTGAAGGTAAGCCCTGAAATATAAACACCGTGCCCCTCGCTACATTAGGGCAGAGAAAAAAAATCATATTTTTGCATACTAATCCCGGATGAGAAACCAGGTCTCAGCTTTGGTTGTTGTCACTCTGTGATCCTCCTGCCAGTGTGTATATATTTGTGTGCATATTATGGTGGAATAAATTACAATAAAAGTAAAAAGTGCAAATATTGATGGGCTTTAATACGATTAGTCAGAAGCTCACATTTCATTCTGCTTGAACTGAAACTGAAGAGTCGACTAAAGGATGTGTTTTTCTGGTGTTTTTAATGTGGAAAAGCATGTGCTGATAACTTGCACGAAGATAAATATCTATCTAATACTGTGCAATAGCCATGATTGGCCTTTTGTTATATTACTCCCTTATTCCTAAATGGAATAACTTCATTTTCACACAAATGACAAAGTGAAAAACATTTGCTTGAAATTCTTGCAAATTTTCTTTTAAAAAATGTACATTGTAAGTATCCACAACTTCTGCCATGACACTCTAAATTGTAATTTAGGAAATGCATTTTGTGTTTACTTGTGTTATCTTTGCCTGATATTTAAATTTGTTTGATGATCTGAAACATTAAAGTGTGACAAACATACAAAACAACAGGAAATCGGGAAGTGGGCAAACACTTTTTCACATCACTGTACTCTCTGGATGCACTATAGCAGCTGTCACAGGAGCAGCTGTTGCATGACAGCAACACAGATTTTAACGTTCTTCTTTTTTCTTTTTTTTAAACTTCATTCATTGTGGTTTATTTCAGGCTTTTGAAGATCACAGAATGCTATCACACTCAGAAAACTAAAATCATAAAATATGTATTCAGAGTTAAAAGATAACCTTCCTGCTTTTCTCCGCTGTTTTGTAGAGCTCTGAAGTTCTGCGGCCCAGGAGGACCCCCCCATGTGAAGCTTGTTATCGAATGGGAGCCAAGCACCAAAGAATGGTAAGGACTGAACACATTTTAATGCTTTAAAAATGTGCAGAACTCAAAATTTTATAGTGTTGGCTGTTGTCATCTTGGGTGACATGGTAAACACAATTCTGCCACTGAATTAGACCAATCCACTTTGTGTGTGGTCCAGTTTATTTGGCAGTATCCAGGAGGAAGTAGTGAAAGATGCAGAGAGCGTGAGGAACCAGCAGCAGCAGCACCTTCAGCAGCATAGCTGTACCTTGGATGAGTGCTTTAAGCTGTACACCAAAGAAGAACAGGTAAGTAAGAGGAATACAATAATCTTTTGTTCTTACACGGTTATAACACAACATTTGCATTGGAGGTTTCATCTCCCTGAATTTCATGAAACAAGTGTAATTTAATCTCCAGATTTTAATTTACACTCCAAGTCAAAAAGGCCACATAAGTATTTAGAAAAAATAAAAGGTCCACTGTAGCACCTTTTACTTGCTTACATGCTTACTGATTTATTGATTTCAACACCCATATGCACAGTCTGATGTCAGAAATCAACAGATGTCTATAAAATTATCAAACAGAGACAATGGTCTGTTGCATTTGCCAATTCAACTAGAATACATGTCACGTATCCTCCTTAGTTTTCTTTCTTTCTTTCTGTCTTAACCTGTCCAATTGGCAAATGGAAAATCAGCATTGCACATAATAATAAATTATTGAATTATTAATGTACAATGCTAGTTTTTAATGCATTAATTTGTACTGAAATCATGTCTAATATTTAAGATTTAAAAAACTGATATAGATAATTAATACCTGGAGCTGACTTTCTGTGCTTAGCTTTTGTACTTGTCTTTTATTGTACTTGCTGTAATATTTCAGTCGGGTGGTGTCTATTCTCTGGAAAAAAAATAAAGGCAGCTGGACTTTAGGTTTGTGAATATGTTTCACCTCTCATCCAGGAGGTTTCTTCAATTCTGGCGTGTGTGTGTATGTGTGCAAATTACCCAGATTAGTCAGGACATCACGCACAAACTGACTCTGTAATCTCTCATCAGGTCATATTCACACATATGCTCAGTATGGTGCTACTCATGTCTCACAGACTCGCACACAAACTTGGCATATTTTAATCTTAATTGTACCGCTCAACAGCCACTGAGAGGGAAAGCTCTTCCACATTACCTTCCTGTTTTGCTTGCGCATGGGCATGACACCAGGTCAAGGACTAATATTTCTGACATCCAGATAGTTTTCTAGACGAATCCTTTCTGCTGTCTGAAAAAATACCTAATGTTTTTTCAGACCTAATGAAAGGTAATCTTGTACTATTATTACTTATGCTTGGCTGGTCGTATTCACATGCTATAGTACTATTTTAATTTCATAGCAGTGATAAACATGTGTAGGGCAGACTATTCAATTCAAAGCAGTTTTATTTATACTGCACCAAATCACAACAACAGATAGTCCTGCTCTGATTGGCTATCACCAATGGAAGCAGGGCAGAGATGTGATGCTGCTCCTCAGAAGCCTAGATGATAGTGATGGGTCGTTCGCAAACGAAATGGCTCTTAGAGCCGACTCTTTGAAGTGAACGACGCGAGCCGGCTCCTTATTGGGAGCCATGAGGGGTTTTTTTGTTTTGTTTTGTTTTTTCTTTCTCTCACCCTCTCTCTCGCCCTTTTTTCCGCTAAACTCCGCATGCGCAGCATGTACTTTGCGCTGGGCAGAGGGGGGAGGGGCGTTAGTTACACTCGCAGTAGCACAGGAACAGAGCCAGAGAGAAAAAGAGCGAGGGACAACAACGTCACATTAGAAAGGTATAGTAGATTCAGAAATCATGCAGGCCCATATGACAGAGAATGTGCATCTTCTTTTTGTTTTAATATTTTAAAATATATTTAATTGTGTTGTGGTTTTCAGTGTTTTGTGTTGTTTCACGTTAAATTTGTTTAAAAGGAAAAAGCTGAAAATTTAAATAGTTAAAAGTTTAAAATGTAAATAGTTGTTTGTTGTATTATACGATTTATTTATTACATTTTATGTGGAGTGAATAAATAAAGTATATTTATGGTGGCCCTTAGAGACAAAGCACGTACAAAGTCCAAAACGCGTAAAAACTCCAAAACGCGTAAAAACTCAGACGCACGTACAAACTCAGACAACTCAAAAGACAACAGAAGTGCTCCAGGATGCTAGGGCGCAGTGTTGAGCTTTTGTTACCTAGTGGCTACACAAGCCAGGAAGTATCAACAACCGGATTTGGTGTGTGGTAGTAACATTTTTTAAATTATTTGAATAAATATGAGTGCTTGTCCATAAATGCACAAACAATACACACATGCTTTCAATTGTGTAATTTAAGTGATCTGGGTAGCTCTGTTTTGGAAGTTCAGTTAATGCTAGAAATGTGTTTTGGAGTTTGTATGTGCTTTAGAGTTTGTACGTGCTTTGTCTCTAGGGGCCATACGTGAACATATATAAATAAAACCACTTTTTTTACATTAGTAATTCCTTTTCTGCATAATTTTATATTATTGTTAATAATAAATTAATTAAAGCAACAAAACAACCTGAAGAGCCGGTTCGGAGCCGAAAGAGCCGGCTCTTTTTAGTGAGCCGAGCTGAAAGAGCCGGATCTCTAAAAAGAGCCCGAAATCGGTGGACTTCCGGTGGCTCGTAGCACCGCATGGCCGCATAGAGAGTGACCTCCGGCACCAACCGTGTGTTTCCCCGGACTCGAGAGCTGTATTAGGGCTACATTGCCATTTTTCGACTCAAGAATGAGTGGGGATAAATCTAAAAAGGGAGGATACGGGCTACGAAACATTCTTGACTGTGAAATGGAGAAGGACGCCGCGGCTAGTGAGGCAAGCCTCGCATCGGGACAAGATGGCGACCGAGGTGAAGGTCTGGGTTGGCTTCGGGATGCTGTGAGTAGCGTACTGGTGGCCGAAATGGCTACATTGCGAACCGAATTGAAGAGTGACTTCAAAGCATTCGGTACGGAATTTCGGGAGGATGTAAAGAAGCAAATGGCCGAACTCTCTAAGGAATTGAATCAAAGATTACACGAGATGGCGGATCAGGTGGAGGAGATGACTGGTCGGCTAAAGCACGTCGAGGACAACATGGCTGACTCGGAACGCTGGGACATTGGTGTTAGGGATACACTTGTGCAGCTGTTGGAAAATCAACGGGCGCTTCAGGAAAAGGTGTCCGATATGGAGGGCCGCGCTAGACGCAAGAACATCCGGATCTACGGCGTACCGGAAAACTCGGAGGGCTCGTCGGTGACTACCTTTGTTGAAAATCTGATCAAAGAACACCTAGGCGAAGATTTCGGCCCGGACCGTGCTCTCGGCATTGAGCGCGCACACCGCGCGTTGGGACCGAAACCACCCCCGAACGCCCCACCACGCTCAATAATAGTGCGCTTCCTCCGGTTCTCTGTTAAAGAAGAGATTCTCCGCACGGCGTGGAACAAAGGGGTACATATCCAAAACAAACGGGTGTATTTCGATCATGACTACTCTCTGGAAGTGCAGAAAAGGAGACGGGAATATATCCCAGTTAAGAAGGCTTTGAAGGACAACGGGATCCGTTTCCAGACACCACTAAGTAAGATGCGAGTGTTTTATGCGTCAGGCAATGTCCTATATAATACCGCGAGCCAAGCTGCCGAGGATTTAAGAAAGCGGGGAATAGCCGTGGGTAAGATCACCTTGGGGAACCAAACCAACAGGATGACAGAGGACACGATAAAGCAGCTACTTCCTTGGGAAACGCAGACAGCACACTGCGGGGGCGGCTTCCAGCAGCACGTGCGGGAAAAACTCCAAGCATTCCGGAGGGAGCAAGAAAAAGTGTCAGCAGACGAGTGAACAGCTGATGGCGGGACAACGGTGAGATAGCTGGCGGTAGAGTTTTGATAATCTAACCGCAGGAACACTGACTTTCGTATCCTTCAGAATTCATATTTCTTTAGGTTGGTGCCTACGGACATGGTTAGAGAACCACCACGTTATGTCTAGTAGCGATAAGAGACTGTTTCGTTTATTTTTTGCCCTTTTTTGGCTTTTTTGTCGGTCACTCCCCTCTTGTCGGATGAGGGGCCCCACCCTGTGGCCAGTCCCCTCAATGTCAAAGGATACTGTTATATCCTTTGTATTGGAAGCTCCTGTTAATGTTTTGTGTGTTTGCTGTTCAGTGAGTTCTGGTTGTGATGTTCTGAGGTCTGGGTTGATTATGTTGTATTCCACATATCCACTTGATGGCTTATAATTTCTATAAAATGCTGTCACTAAATGTAAATGGCCTGAATAGCCCTATTAAAAGAAGCAAATTAATTGCCAAATTGAAAAAGGAGACAGTAGACTTGGCATATTGGCAAGAAACTCATCTAGATAATGCAGAACATGAGAAATTAAAAAAGATGGGTTTCAGACATACATTTTATTCATCGTATAGGGCCAGGAAAAAACGAGGAGTAGCTATCCTTATCTCAAATAAAATAAAATTTGAACATATATCTACTATAAGTGATAAGGAAGGTCGGTTTGTTTTAGTAAAAGGTAGAATAGAGAATAAGACGGTCACACTATTAAATGTCTATGCACCCCCAGGAAGCAACGCAAGCTTCTTTAAGAAGATATTTGATTTGATCTCTAAGGAAACGGTGGGAACTCTTATTTGTGCAGGAGATTTTAATTTACTGTTAAATCCCAGATTAGACTCAAATAATAGGGACAGGAAAAGCACGTCTGGAGGGAAACGGGTTAAAGGAATGTTAACGGAATTAGGGCTTATTGACGTGTGGCGATCTATCCATGGGTCAGCGTCAGGATTCACTTTTTACTCTGCTCGACACTCAGTGTATTCGAGGATAGATTACTGTTTTATGTTTAATAGGGATTTACACAGGATAAAAGATTGCAGAATAGGTCCAAGAGATGTCTCTGACCACAGTGGACTTTATATAACGTTACATTTGGACGGGACACGGAAGACAACTTTGTGGAGACTAAATACCGGTATGTTAAATGACCCCGCTTTTGTGAAACAAATGACAGCCGATCTTAACTTGTACCTGCAGGACAATGATAATGGAGAGACAAATCACAGTATTGTATGGGATGCAGCCAAAGCTGTCCTCAGAGGTAAAATAATTGCGTGGTCAACCATGATTAATAAGAAAAAGTCACAAGAATTGTTACAACTGCAGAATAGATTAATGGCCTTGGAACAGTCAGGTCTAAAGGATAAAAATACTACAGTAACCCACCAGATCAGACAG